AGGGTGTAACAGAAAGATCTGACAAAAAAAATATTATGCAAGTTAAACGTATGACAAAAATTATGAAAATTATATGGATGATAAATAATTTAAGAAAAATACTCATGTCAGGGATTCCGGAATTCACAAAAGTAATATATTTAAAAAAATTATTAAGTTTTAAATTAATTTACTCCAACAAAATATTGATATTTTAAAAAATATTGCTTAATATTTGGCTTAGATAAATATTTTCCCATCAAAATTGTTCTTATGATTAGATTTACAAATCGGATATTTTTAAATTTTCGAAAAGAATTAAAAATTTAAATTTTCAGTTTCATGAATTAAAAATGAAAAAATGCATATTTTAAACATACGCAGCCTTGTTCTTTCGTGTTTATAAATTATTTAAAAGAAAACATTTTTTTTTAAATATTGATTATTACAAAAAGTTTTGCATTAGTCAGTTCTTACTGTTACATCCTGTATATATATAGGTATACATTATATATTGGATTTGCAAAGTCAAAAATGAAAATAACTTTTTCCAACTTCAATACTCAGATTAGGTATGTATTATTATAATATAATATTTTTATGTACATATAACTATTAACTATAAGTGACAAATAAATTATATTGTTTTATTATAATCATGGAAATATTACATCTACCTATAGATGAAAGATATTATAATGCAACTATTGGTACTAGTATAGTTCATATACAATAATATATATTATGGAGGTATTACAGATGTAGCCGATGTATCTATATATATGGGAGTACTATATGGTAAATCTATATATATATATATAGTTAATAGGTATATATACGTGTAATTGCCTAACATATACAAATTCCATGCATACATATATAATAATTTAGTCTAGAGAAAATCGAATATATAGGTAAAACAATTATCACAGCTTATTACAACAACTATATGTTATTACTTCAAACCTATTTTCTTGCATGTCCATTTAGCAGAATAATTAATAATTAGTTAATTTTCCATTATTTAATGTAAAATATAATTTACAATTTAATAGAAAGAGAGAGAGAGTGAGAGAGATTATACAATTTTAACATTTATACATTGCGGAAAGATATTTTAGGTACCTACCTAATAGCAGTATATTATAAGTTATAACTATGCAGCAGTATAACGGTGACACGCAAGCTCGCGTTCACGCCCTCTTCATTGTTTGGAGAAAACGGACAAAATCTTTAAGTAAAATATTTAAATTTATAGAATTTTAAAACAACGGTTTATTATATAACATTATACAGTGGCGTAGCAAAAATCTTAGTGGCTTTATATATATGGCCATAAGAGCGAGGCCCTCTTTAACGCATTATAAATTAAACTTTAATACAAATATTGATTATTATAAATAGTGATTCTAAGAACTAATAATAATTTTTTTTTTTTATAGCTTCAGCAACTGAGGCCATTAGCTGTAGGTTGTGGTACTGTAGGGTTTTGGGACTGTAGGGTTTTGGGACTGTATGGGTTATGGAACACGTGTGTGTTTGTTTGGCAGAATTTCTAGTGGGCACCCGTAGGTTTCTGCCATGCCCGGTTGGGGGATGGAAATAATAATTATAATTTATAAGGGCGTACAAACTACAATATTTTCATCAATAGGTTATAGAGCTGCGGAGCCTATATATGATAGCGGCTGCCTTACAAATAATACCTATTCTTATAGCTGTGTTGCAATTATAACGATTTACAGGTTATGATCATTTATTTTTATAATTATAACCGCCCTGAAAAACTAATGACGTACATAATTAGATAATATACACGATAATAGACTCCACAGCTGTACATTTTTTTTCGTAGTTCAAATCAAATTATTTTTAACATGAATATAATTTAAATTTTAAAAAAAATGTTCAGTATTTTTTTAATGTAATGAATAAGGTCCTATGAACCCCCCCCCCCGGACCTACCTTGGGAGACCCTATGTCAATAGCCTTAACATTAAAAGTTATAGGTATATATATACCCACAGTCATAATTCATGTGAAATTGATATATATATATATTTTATGTATATATACCTATAGGTAAAAATTAAATTGTTTATTATACTGCATATTGTAGGTATATCTTTTTTTTTTGGACTTTCCGCCTTATTGACTGATTCTTGGTAATAACTTATAAGGGTGTCGTAGCCGGTGCTTATATTTAGTGCAAAAACATGTTTTATAGGAGACTCTCAGGCGTTGTAGAATAGTCAGATTTCGTTTTCATTAATTAATTTTTTTTTTAAAGAAGATAACATTTTGCAGGTCGGATCACAGCTCGATTTTCAAACTAATAATAATAGAAGTTGAGACATTATGCTTTTAATATTTGAATAATCTGCAGCATTTATTATTTTTCAGGCTCGATCAAAAGTAAAATGAAAATTAGGGATATGAAGATGACCTGCAAAAAGTTCTCATATTTCTGATAAAAAAAAATTTATCAAAATCCTACTTATAATAGATGAGGCGTGAGAGTCTTTCCTGTGCATTGGTATGAAATTATTTTTGTTTATATAATGCACGCCTTATCATAGAACAGGGCAACAGATTAACGGAAAAGTATTATATTATACATAAGCTATAGTAATTAAAATATATAATGTTCACATTTTATAGAATTGCGTAGAATTTTAAAAACCAGCTCCGACAACCTTAATATGGACTAAAATGCTCTAGTCTTATTGTGAGTCCAATAATAAGCGACGACTATAATGTACTCACATAGTCACATATACGTTCATATACGCGTTCACAGGAAATTTATCAGGGAGAGCATAATAAAATAAAACACTAAAACTACTTTTTTCTTTGTACATATTATTACAAGCCTTTGTTCTATTGCAATCTACAGACACACACTGAGGATTTTTTTTGGTATAGAATACTCAGGTAGTGGGTACACATTACCTCTTCGACTTTTGTGATATCTGCAGTCGACATTATTTTTACCGTCGTGATTTGGACCAAAATCGACGATCTATGACAACGTGCTGACCTAATACCGCAATTGTCCATTACCTACCTACATAAATCTAAAAATTATTTTCAACTAAATAATTGATGGCCTTTGCCAACTTGGACATGTACAACTTTATCTACAAAAAAAAAAATATTAACAATATATTAGTGACAGAACAATAATGTAGGTAGGTGCCTACTTTACATATAAATCGTTAATATAAAATATAGAAATAATTTTTTTTTTGGTGGAAGATTTTAGCCCTAAAACCTTCCCTGAGAGCATCATTGCGGCAATAAGTACCTAGCTACATATAGGCCTACCTGTATTTAATAGGTATACCTGAATAAAATAATTCATTGGAAATACTTAAAATGGAATTTTCTTTACAACAAAATAATAATATAATATAATATATTTTAATGATAATTAATAATGTAACGCGTAGTCAGCCGCTAAAGATAAAAAGACGCCGTCCAATGTAACATTATAATGTACGTATTTGTGGTCTACCTTGAGGCGGACTGAGTTATCGGAAAAATCCTCCATACATATATAATAACCTCTGTGCATATGTATTATGATTATGTATGTATATATATAATCTATTATTATAATTATAGTTATAGGAGATATCTAGCTGTAGCATAATATAAAAATACAAGACAACTATACAGCAACTAATAATTATTATTACTATATATAGCTACTCCTCTCTATATTTATAACGGACGTTATAAATTATAATAGTAATAATATTTATTATTACAGAGCAGTACTTGAATCCTGATGACGGGGGAGAGGGAGTATGTACCTATAGATACGTAGTATTTCGTTTAATCCATAATATAATATTTCAGAATTCAGGGTAGACGCGTACCTCTATTTAATTTTCCTGCTTGACATATTTCAAGTCGTGGAGACTTCTCATGCATATACATGTATTTCGGTATGTAATATACGTTGTACCTATATTCTAGGTAAATTATTGAAAGTACATTTTTGCGTCCTTCATGTGTACAACCCGACAACCAACTATCGTTGTCATGTCATAATGTAGGACCTATGGGCTATAATAATATAATATAATTTATCTATAATATCTTTAAGTACCTATTTTACAAATATATACCAGTACCTATATATACCTATATTTTCAGTTTATATACAGTATAGTACTCTTATCGACATGTACACGATCGGACCTGCAGCAATACAGCAGACCACAGCGCGACGGATTTGACTGCAGCAAGCCGCTGCAATGCCGCAGGGGTGGTCGCTGCTGCTTGTACCAATACTACGAATTATAATATTATCATATTATACATATAATATTACACAGGCAGGTACGCGTCGTATGTGAGCGGTCGGTACACTATCTATTATAATACAAACCATTATAGACGTGTGTGTGTGTGTGCGGTGCATAAAACGTTGTTATAATAACAATATTATAATATAATAATACAGTCGGGTACTCGGGTCGATTGAGTGTGTGATGTGCGCGCGCGCTTTGCCATATATATAATACAAAGCAATCGCAATAATATACGCGTGTAATAACAATATCGCTCGCGGCTCGGGCGACGGACTCCCACGGGACGGACACACACACACACACACACACACACACACACACACACACACACACACGACCGCGATGACTGGCATAGCGTACGGCCGCGGTGTAATTATTGTAATAGGAAAAGTGTAAACGCCGCGGCGGCGGCAGTCGTCAGCCATTGCGGCGGTCGGCGCGCCATTGGTCGGCGGCCCGCCGCCAATCCAAGCGGAATGGAAAACGAACGGAACGCGGTGCGCGCTCGATGCCTCCCGCCGCAGCCGCAGCAGCAGCAGCAGCCGCCGGAGGGGGACGAAATTACAAAACTCGGCGGAATCGTCGTCGCGGCCCCCCCCCCCCCCCGACGCCACCGTCACCCGACCCGAACCTGACGGCGCGCGCGGGAGCACACGCGCCCGCGCGCGCGCAGACCCGCTCACCGACGAGTCGAACTACAGTCCGCGAGCGTATACCGTGGCCGCCGCGCCGTTTCCATCCGTTCACCGCGCGCCAGAACAGCAGTGCGCCTCGTCGTGCCATCGCGTACGGTGTCCAGTGTGTGCGTGTGCGTCTGCGTCTGCCTGCTAGTGTGTGTGTCGTGTTTCTGTGTGCGAGTGCGCGGACGCGTGTGTACTCACATTCGTGTGACGAGAATAAAATTTAATATTTTACGTCTATAACCTACGCCCGGGATCGTAATATCATAACATATTTGTTGTCGCCGGTCGCGGGTTTTCTTCTCCGGCCGTCCGATCGTAGGTATACATATATACTTATATTTCACTCGTAAGTTGTATAATGTAACCCACCTACACGTTAAGACGGGACACGCGTCAGCTCTCGATTTTAGTTGCCGACGTTATATTTTCTACTTGTTCATTAGTTGTACGTTTATATAACATAACTTCAGCTACTTCGGTACCTGAGCGGTAAATATTATAATATATAGGTAGGTGCCACACTCGGGGATCGCGCGTTCCGCCCGCGAAAAGTGCGCCAATATAGTTTTCCTTATTATTTATATGGACTGCACCACTGTATAGGTACGCGATTTAATATATACATACCTGTATGATATACAAAACAGTTTACCTGTAGCAGTGTCGTCCGTCGCTTCGAGTTCAAACGTAAGTCTTTATCCATATATCCATATATATTATGTTTGGTGGGCATGGACTTTTATAGATATTATATTTTAATAATACCTATTAAAACGGTTACGACGCGCAACCGCCCATATATGTATATATGTGCAGTTAGAATTATTCATAGACGGGTTGCTCCGAAGTCCGAACTCGACTAATCTATAGCTGCTGGTGCGGGCGACATCGATGCAAAAAACGTAATTTCGTAACACAACACTGAAAAGATCGAACTTGTCCTGATGCAATTATTGCCCGCCGCCGTGTACATTGTATACCCCTCTGCAATGATATTTTTTCTAAATCATAATTTATAGGCATAGGCACTGGTTAATTGGTATCCAAGTTTATAACTTCATAATATAGGCAGGTACTAGATTCGTTACGATTATGACTCATTAAGTTATCAATAACTATATTTTAAGTTACCCGTAATGCCGTATCACCATATTTAATGCCATTATGTGAGATAAAGATTTTTGTTAATGAAATCGTATTGTTAATTAATTAAATATATATACGTAAATATTTATATAGAAGGTAATTGTTATAATAATTTACAATCTCTGTATAGGTACCCAATAAAATACTTAAATTTATAATTATCATCATGCGCATTAACTCGATAAAGTTATTTAGGAGTTTTTTTTTTATACAATTGTACAGTAACTATATTTGTGTAACAATTATTAAGAATACGTTCATTTTTTATATATAACTTCCAAATAATTTTTCACCTTTTATATAGGAACAGGTTGTATTATACTTTTTACCAAACAACTCGAGCGTGAAACATAAAAAATATTTATCAGCATACTTTATCTAAGACTTGGGATATTTAAATAATCTATACGACTATACCTATAAGTAGTTCGTATACATTTTAGATGCCCTATACGTTTTCAAAATAATTGAACCGGCCGGTAAACCATAAAAGTGGTAAAATATTCATATACACTTGCATATTATGTAGGTATATATAATATGTACTATGCCGCGTATATATCTCTTATACATAAATTATAATTTATAAATCTACAAAAACTATAATTTATGTACCTAATGGTTTTTTTTTATTATTAAAAATAAAATCAATATAATTCAAATAATATGTTCGTTGTTGAAAGAGTAATTGTAACTTATAATATTGGTATCAGTAAAGGTGTCTCTGTTATTATAATAATACGTATACAAATTAAATTCAAGATTGATAATAATATAATACCTATATGTAGGTATAAATAAAATAAAACTTATATGAAGTGTTCAACAATGTATTAAATATTATTGTATTTTAATAAATATGTACAGAATATAATATATTAATGGTCATGGTCGTGACTCGTGGACACTATATATTTCCACTATAAAAATCGAGCGCTGTTAAGATTTTCTATACTAGATAATAAAACACCAAATGTAATACAGAAACGTGTAGTAGTTATCTGAAACAAGACCCTAATAATAAACACATAATATAAGTATTTATCTGATTCTTAGATTTTAAAATATTTAGTTAGCAAATAATTAAGTGCACCAATACGGCTATACATTTAACTACCTTATTCGAATTTCAACGCAAAGTAATAAAAATATAAATAGGTATGATGTGGATATACTATACCTACCTATTTTTTGATAAAACTGTTTTAAGCTGAGTAAAACCAGCAGTGTTTCATAAATGCGAAAAAACTTATAAAATTATATTATATTTATTTATTATCAATTAATTTAAAAGTATAAACTTTCTATATGTAACAGAAATTGTTTTTGAATCATACCTACATATCGCGACAAGTGTCCCGTATAGATTGCTCGGATAATATTTACCCACGATGTATACCTACTTAGAGCACGCACATAAACAAATCGCTTTTGTCTTCAGTCCGATAACGGGTTTTCTACGCACGCAGGCTCAACAATGTGTACCGCCGTCCGTTGTTCAGTTAGCACATAGGCATTGAGCTCACCTATAAATTTTGCTTAACGAAAAACAAAACGACGTGTAGATGTAACGTGTAAGTATTTGCAAGTGTTAAAAAATATAAAATATCACATTTAACACCAGGATGAATAAATAATTGTTTTATTTCATACGAAAATATAATATAGTGCGATATACCTGCTATATAAGTATATAATATTATAAATTATTATAAGTCGTACTCTTTAGTACCTCATCATTAATAATATATATATATATAAAAAAGCGTATTCATATTGAATGAAGAGAAGGAATCATCCTTGTTGCTGTAGTTTCAATAAAAAAAAAAAAATTATAAAACTGAATGAAAATAAAGGAAAACATTATTTCCATCCATAAAAGTGTGACTTAATATTTATTAAGTTATAAATATCCATACAATAAAAAAATAAACAATTTCCTTTTCATCGTAAAGTCAAATTAATCGAAGGTATTGTTTACATTGAGTGTAAGTAAATTGTGTGATTGCGCGCACTAAAAAAGTGATTGCGCTTTTAAAAAATATTTTTATTACGATTTAAGTACCACCGTATCGAATATTGATCACAAAATCAGAAGCTCGCGTTCAAGTTCTTCGCACGATAGGTGTCTATATATATATAATGCACGCAGACTATTTAGGTATTAGGTATACGTATATATTATATGTGTTTATATATAGATAACTTGTCGTCGCCCGTCGGCATGCAATCTCTTTGATGCATAAAACTGTTAGTTCTCGTCTATAAATGTTATTGTTTTAACGTGTTACAGAACGTCAGAATAAAAATGTAGTTAATGAACGTAATAAACGCGTTAAATAGGCTTCTTAGGTTAGAGTGTTAGACTATACGGCTGTATAATTGCATATATACATAAACATAATACATTACGCGTAGTTGCTTGGTCTAGTTTCCCTATATTTGTATAACATTATATTACACTTTCGCAACATTACTTAATCACTATAAGATGAAAAACAATTGTAAACTTGGTTGGCTCTAAACAAGGTTATACATCGCTGCAATTTTAATATGATGTGCACTTATAATATTTGATTTAATATCATATATTCATACTACTATATAAATTATATATTATAAAGTAAAATATATTAAAATAAACTTGTCATGACTAGAGCTAGGATTTGCATCTTCTTTTGAATTGCCTAAAATTATACCTACCTAGCCAACTGTTGTCAAATGAGCTATTTATAACTACAGAAAATGTACATGACTTTTTTTTGATCATTATTTATAAGTTATAAATTTCCTATTTTTAGGAATATCTGTGACTAAAACAAAAATAATTTATATTAGATTTAATATAATATACCTACTACTATATTATCTACTAGTATGTATTTTCCCATGCTTGTACTATGACATGTCGTAATCTGGTTTTAAAATAACTTGCACGAGTCTCGGATTTATTTAATGACCTAATCGTCACACAACCACTGAGTTGATTACATAATTTAGAGATGTCAATTTTATTAACTCAACACTTATAAAACCATTTTTTTGTTTAAAATATTAATTGAAAAATAATTCTATTTTTGCTATCAGAAATAAAACAAAAAAATAATAACATTACAATCCGAGCCTCATATCATGACTTATTGTACCTAATTAACTTCTTCGAATATTTTTTTTATGTGTTGAATTCAAAAAAATGTTTTTTGCCCGTTAGAGGTAACTCGTCATGGAGGAGGGGTATTCATCAAATGCCAGTAATAATAATTCAATAATAGCGATTGTGCATTTAGAAACGTTCTGTTATTAAAAACGGTAGTATTTAGACAACCACAACAATATTGAAAGAATGAAAGAAAAATCTTGAACATACTTGAGTAAATCAACCATTTTTCTTGTATAGAATATCATTGCAATGACTAATATTTTTTTTCTAATTTTATAATACATATTATAGTAGTATATGCACCAGAGTTTAAAGTTTGAAAAAATTCCAAGGGGGAACTAATGTCTCAATATAGTTTTAAGTGTACCATGTATATAATTTTATGTTACTCATCCCACTTTTAGCTCTGAGTAGTGTTGTTTCTAATTTGTTAAACCACCGCCAGAGGTAGGGGGACTAGGTCCCCTGCGTTCTCCCACTTTAACCCCTAAATATATATTTATATATAATACCTAGTTAAATTATATAATATTTTATAAATATATAAAAAAATATAAAATAGTTCTTCAGTAATAACTGATAAGTTAACAACAATAATAGGTATTTATGCAATATTTGTTCAACTTATCAAATAACTAATAAAAAAAATAGCTAATATAGTACCTAATGTAAATAAATTATAAAATATCCTTTTAAATTAAGGCTCACTGATATTTTAAATATATTAGTGCAAGTGCAAACATTTTGAAATATAAAATTCTTTAGAAATGTAGGTGACTGTCCCCGTTCAGAATCATCTTTTGAGTTAAATTCAAATTTTACACTCATTGATTACTATTACCTATTCAATGACAAGATACAGTAAACACCTATTACTATACAGCAGAGCGACTTATCCGGGTTTTTTAAAAATTATAATGAGTATGTAATTTGTTCAGTTGTAAATTTTGTATAATGTATATATAATGTATGTATAATGTGACATTGTGACATACATCTTGCAAAAAGCAGTGACCCAACCAACAGCAACCTACTTAAAATTAATATAATGTGGACGCGTTAAAACTTAAATTTGTAGTTGGTAATTAAAAAAAATAAAAATATACACGAAAAACTCTATTATGTATGTACCTACCTATATAATATACGTAAAATATTATTAAAAAAATAAAATAATCCATTAGGTACGACTCTACTACGTTGTGTTATTAAACCGCATAAATCACGTAAGTTTAAACGGCAGGAAAAATATTTGTTCAGTCGTTATACACATACAGTGTATTTTGTTATATGATGTCAAAACAAATTACACTCTACTGCACGCAACGCCGGATAAAATATTAAAATTGTGACTAAAATGCCGCTGTTCAACTGCAGCCTGCAGCTATTGCATTATAGCCTATAATATGTAGGTAATAGCAGGTATCTATCTAAGTTTATATTTTACTATTTTAGTATTGAATACTTATTTTAATAAGTGTTTACAAAATAGGACGCGAATGATTTTATTCGAATCGCAAAGAGAATTTTTTAGCGATTTATTTATAATTTATTTATTTATTTATAAACTTATGATAAATTTCAAAACCTAGCACAATATAAAATATCTTTTTTGTCAACATATCTACATGATAAATTATCAATAACAATAATATTATGTTGTAATAACAGCGTAATGGCGCTGTTCCGTCGTATTATAATAATATATCTGTGGGTGGATGACAGAAGATGAAATTGATATATCTCTTCTTGCTCGTTTCCAGTTTCTTATATCCGATATGTTAAAAAATTCGTTTTCGCAAAGTAGCAAGACATGGTAATTGTCGTTTTCATACCATAGTTTCGTTATTCATACTTCTTCATACTGAAGAAAAAGCTTATCACTAACTTATAAGTAGTACAACTCTATTAAAAACTTAAAAAAAATTAATGGTTTCTTACGAGATTTTATATTTTAATATTATTTATTATAAGTTTTAACTCTAATACTTTCATGACATTTCGATGGAATAAGTAGTCCAGAAGCTTTGCACTTCGTCTATATTGTTTATGCTATGAACAATTATTCATTTTGCATTTATTACTTAAACATAGTACATACTCTCATAATATTATTACGGGCATTAACCGTGGTATGGGGTAAGCTGTTGACTCCTATGGTAGGTCGTAAGAAGTATGGCATATTAAATCTGGCGTTATAACTTATAAAGTCAATACCGACGTACCGTAGGATAGCGTGAACATGTATAGGTATTCGATGTACAGCAGAGTAGATGAGGTGTACACACTACACTGTACATAATATGTACTTCATGGTATTAAATATGGTATAGCTTACCATTAGTCTGAATATTTTGACTATTTCATAGTGTATAGAAAATTGTAATACACTTATAGAATTTCAAGTCTATATCTGGTTAATATTTTTAAAATAAATTCGAATAATTTTTTTTTTTTTTAATTCTAACGAATGACAAATTGTTATGTTCTTTTCAATATACAATTATAGTTTAAACTTCAAAAGCTTTATATTTTTGAACATTTTAAACTTCTATTACAACTACTTATTATGAGGAACTTTATAATATGTATTACATTTTCAAACGTGTATGTTATTGTTTAAAAGTTACCGAGTTTTTAATTACAATTGGTTTGTAAATGTTTGAGAATTTGTTGGTATATTTTATCAATAGCTCCTCTCCTCGCAGAATCTAAAAATAAAATAGCTATTATTATATTCGGTTAGGTATTACCATTTCTAACATTGTTTATAACCACGTTGGTTTTATTATTATATTATTAATTACACATTCATACCTTACTGTTGGTATTTGTTCTTAATAACTATGATTTTTGTCCTCAGACCTAAATACATATAACGGACTCTTGGACGCGATATTTGTGTCAGACAATAACGGATTGGCACTAGGGTCACACGCGGGGCCCAACGAGTCGAAAGTCACCACACCCATCGTACCACCGACACACGGATGCGATGTGATGTGATGTGATCGGCGGCCGAGTGACAACGGGCGCGCGGCGCTGACATCGCAGGTTGCTCGAGGCGCCCCCAAAACGGAGTACGTCACGGGGACGGGGCCATGCGGCGCCCCCCCAGCCACATACCATCAGCCACTGATCGAACACCATCAGAACCACGTGCAACACCATCAGCTGGTGGCCGCGTCCAACGGACAGTTGCGCGGTCAGTCCAGCGCCGCCGCGATGGCCGTGGCCGCGGTCACAGCACCGCCAGTCCAGTCTGTCAACCCGCTGAGCACCGTCTACGCGACCAAGCGGCGACGGCGCAACGGCAAGAGGTACACTACATTTTCATTTATTTTCTAGCTTATTGCTTATATTATGCTGGTCGATTCGCCCACAAATTAGTGTTCACCTTTAAAAGTTAAAATGTTAAAAAAAATATTGTTATAAAGTGATCTAACAAATTAGGCGTTAAAATATAATGGGTATAGATAATATTATTATGTTAGTTACCTATGTAAATATTAACTTAATAAGTTATGATTCTTTGGTGTATCTCACGTATGAATTTCGTGTAAAGAAATTTTTACTTTTTATTCGATTTTAAAAAGAATGCTCAAATTACTTCAAATTGGTAGGTTTATATAACATCCGATCATCAAGACGATGTGAAAATATTTGTTTCAAAATAAAATATATTTAGAGCTTAACAATTATGTGTTGTATTCACGAAAATATAAAGGTTACGAAGATACGAGGTTACTTATCGAAAGTATTGACGAATTTCTAGTAATATTTCGCAATTTATTTATTTGTATTATGCGATACGTATATTTTTTGCAACTAGAAAAAAAATAATACTCTATTGAGAATTTCAACAAATGTGTGAAACAAAGTATACAATCTGTAAATGCCCTAATTTTGATTTTGTTGGCAACATGTTAAAAATATACAATTCGATAAAGTATTTAGAGTAATAGTACTTATACGGTAATATGACAAATTAAAATTATAGACTTCCGATACCGAAATTAATTATTAGTTTTTGAAAATCATGATTTTATAATCAAACAATCGTATACAATAATCGTGTGTGAACTAGAGCACGATCTATAATATTATATTATACAATAATACACGTGCAGAACGATGCGTATAATATAACCTACCTACACATATTATGACAGTATAACTGTCGCCGTTTTAATCGGTTTATAAAAGGCGAACAAAATAATCCCGGGAATGTAACACATACGCCGTCATCGTGACGTAAAACAATATATTATGATGTACACGTATACATATAAACCATTATACCTATTTAGGTACCTACCTATATATGTATGTAATTCTTTTTGGCGACTACCGCGAGTGAATGGCTTCCAAAAGGGTATCCATTCGTGTGACGTGCGCATATTATTATACATTATAAGTGTGGGACATCAACACTGTTATCAGGCGCGGTGGTCTTTTCAAAACATTTTTCTCGGGCGCTATTATTGTTTTTTGTTTTGTTCCGCTGTTCGCGTTGATTGATACAAATCGGCCGCTCGCGCGTCTACGTGATGTTATTATAATTTATATATATAATATTATACTCGGGTATATACGTACAGCGGGCGCCACGTGTGTTTGTGTAATTGATGCATTTCGTACTCCCGCAGTGTGACGTCACTAGCTCCATTACCGAAGATTATGTTACACCGGTAACTTCGCGCACATATACCTATACAGTATATATATATATATATATTTATCATATACAACGCAAGAACAACACACAGTGGATCCGGACCGGTAATGTAATGTTTGTCCATCACGCAATCGCGGGCACGGCCGAGGGGGCCACTGGCCGGCGCGAATATATACACCTACATATATATGTATATACATTTAAGTACGGTACGAGTACTATATACATGTGCGTGTGTGTGTGTGTGTGTGTGTGTGTGTGTGAGCGTACATATATATATTATGCCATATGTGTTGTAACCTTCGCGTCGCCGGCCCTCCGTCGCTGCTCTCGGTTCCCGCGGTGCCCGCCCTTTGCAAAAGTAATCATCAGTGGTCAATTCCTATCGGTCGCTCGGCGCCCTCCGCGAGTTAAACTCTCGCGCACGTGTGTGGTGTGTATAGCCATATAGAGTGAATATGTGTATAGGTAGGCTTGCACGTTGCAGGGACGGATTTACGACTTATATGCCGGGGTCGGGTGCCCCGCTATCCGGCCCGTAATAACTTGTTTTCCCTTCGCATCCCCTCCGCCCATCCTTTCATATGCACCTATATACATACAAAGACTGCGTATACGTTGTATATATATATATATATTATATACACTTTTCGTTTCGTATGTATACATAGGTATATATAAAATAGAACTTACACTTTGTGTGTGTGTGTGGTGTGTCTGCGGCAAATTACCTTTAGTGCTATTTCGAAAATTGCCACAAGATAAACCCGAATAAATTCGATTTTTCAGCTCTTCCGAAAGAAAATTACGCTCGGTTGCGATCAGTACCACGGAGCATACATAAGTACAATAATTTATTACATAATTATACATCTTATTACCCGTGCTTTAACTTTTGAAATATTGTAGTTGTAAAACAATAGTGAACATGTGTGTATACCTAGACGTATTTTATAAGTAGCGATATTTATTTAGAACTTGGGACGAAAATATGCAGCATTATTCACATCACACGAAAGGTTAAAAATAAGCTAAATCTATTTTTCTGAATTAGAGATTATTGGGTCGATTGAACAATTTTGTATGTATGATGGTGAAAATTTGTTTCTTTAATCATACCAATTGAGATTTTAATGAAAACAGGGCGAATTAGAATTTTTCCGTAAAAGCATCTGTTATCGTACTGCAGATAATTCTATTCCTGAGAAATAAATTATATTAAGATCAAATATCATTATCTTTAAATATAATAGTAAGAAAATAAATAATGCTTTATTACACTATTTAATTTCTTGCTAAAATATAATAACTGCAGACTAACAGAATCATGCAATCAATTCAATGTCTAGTGGGGACGGGTTAAAAAGTGAATGATATAGTATACTGGCATATTTATAGTATCAGGGATATTGTATAGTGTACTAATTTACCATAATACTATAATTTAGTGATTGAAACTCCTAATATTATCTTGTTCGTTGAATTTCTTATATGTCCGAATTGTGTCAATATCATCCAAATATTGCATATTAAATGAGACAAATACATTGTGAACTAAAATTATGCAATTAACTATTCAAATAAAATATTATTACTTATATCTTGTATCTATAAATATTACAAGTTAATCTCAAAAAAGTGTCTGAATAAAATATACAAGACAAGTTACAACCTATAAAAACGATTTAAAATATTGAATAAGGAACAAATATTCTATGGTCTTTGATAAACCTATAATTTATCAAAAATGATAGGACTTGTCTAATAAAAAATTATAAACTTAAAATGATCTAAGGAATATTGTATAATTAATTATATACATATAATATTATATATATGTATTAATATTTAACATTAGGCATACTATAACATACCATTAAATTGTCATAGAAATATAGCGTTAGAACTTAAAACGTATATTATCTAACGTATCTATACCTATATTTACAATTACGTTTACCATTTGTACCTGAAAACATTTTTACACCGACTTGATTTCCTTGAACATAATATATCATAATATTCATTGTTAAATGAAAACTTAAAAATCTTATTTTTTTTACACTTTGTGAAACAATTGATTTCGAAACACTCGTTAGTCGTTATAATATAAGTCTTATATTATAAGACGTTCTGTTAGTGCTTTTTGAGTATTCAAATTAAGTATTAATACTTTTGAAAATGCATGCAAAATAAAAACATTTTTAAATTCGTAATATAATTGTGAATATTTTTCATTAAATAGATGTAAATTGTTTGTTACTTTGATTGGGCTTATTTTTTTTTTAAAAAAAACGACTTAAGACTATAATAATATTACATTATAATGTCAGATATTCTCAATTTTTGAAATGGGCACCACCGACGACCTGTGACTATACAAGTATACAACCATATCTATATATAATATATTATGTACTGTATACGGTTTTTAAACTTATGTACAACAGACACAGGCCGGTATAGAAACGTCAAAAGTGATTTTTAATAACAAACTATATACTGGAAAAAAAAAATAAAATCGAGAACAAACCCGTTGTGTGTGCGTTGTATACAGCAGGGATAATTTGAGGTAATTGCTGGGGTCAGAAGACGTCTAAAATACATTTAAATTATACGGTTGTCCGGGTTGAACGCGGCCTTTCTCCGATTCGCCGACGTTTTCCGCGTTCTAGGTAAAAAAAAAACATAGGTAACTAATAATAATAACAGTGAGAGTATACACGAAATGAAAAAAGAATACATCGAGTAGTGTTCGTTCGATTCATGTACCAGCGTGTGTTTAATATACGTGTGTGTGTAAATCACTTGACAGGTGAAACCGTATTTTGTACATGGGTACATGGAAATGTATTACGCAAATTATCGTCCAACACTGATGTAGTGATGTATGTGTACGTCGGTATTTTTAAATTCGCGAATTCTAATACTATACAGGTAGTTTTTTTTCTGTTTATACCATTCACCACGATTCATTGATTAGTAGTTTTCAAAAACGAGTAAATTAAAAAATATGTTTTCTAAAAGGCGGATGAACCAGATGGTTCCAGCTCATAATGACTTAATTCTAAGTTATTCACATCGGACATAATATTATGTACCTACCTATGTATATGTTAAACGGTACTTTTTTTTGTTTGCCCGACAGTTCTTTTGCGTGGTTAGTGGCGGGATTAAATAAAGATTGAAAATTATATCATATAATTCGAATGTCGGGTTCGCCGGTTTGCGACCATTTCATGATGACGCACGAATAAAATATGTATTTATAACTGTTGCTAGCTAGATTTATTCGACTGCCTGCGATTCCAACATTTGGTTCAGATATTGTTTGTAACTCTGTGGCCAATATAATATCTTAGCTACATTTAAATTTTTAGAATTATTACTATAACATATCATTATAATATTATAAATTATATATTATTAAATTGATGTACCTCGTTTTGTGAATTAACCAAAACGAGCATTCCGCTTATGGTAGATTGGATATACAACCTATTGATATTTTTTCAAACATAGTCCAAACTATAATCTCTAAGCTTTCCTGATATAGTGATAACTGATAACTCTAAGAACAATGTCTGAAATTTTCGTCAAAATCGATCTAGTACTTTTTGAGCCTATAAACTGCAAACACAA